CCCCCCCCCCCCCCCCCCCCCCCACACCCCTGGGGCCAAAATTGGGCTCAAATGACCCATCCAAGTACTGGATTTATGTTCATTAACTTTTTTAGAAAAGGCACAGTAAGCAATTGTGACTCTCTTGAAGACCCTTTTTCCTGAACCAACTGCTCCTTTAAACTCCTCCATTTTAACAGATAAAACACATTTATTCCACTAGAAGAGGGGTGAAGCTTGGAGTTGATTGGTGCATAAACAAAGTTGCATGAATGTATATTCAGAGGTTGCAATAACGGCCTTGTAGCAATTACATCTAACCACTTGTAAAGAGCTACATGTAGCTACCCATGTGAAGCCCTTACACAAAGGTCATTGAACTCCTGAAAGAAACCAACATGAAATTCTCTTCAAATTGGTTAACTTCTAGGATCAACAAAGAAACATAAAATTTGAATAGACTTCAAAGTACAGGAAATGCACCTGTTAGAGTCTAAACTGTCAAATTTTCCAATGTGTTCACACCTTTCCAGGAAGAGGAAGCCCTCCAGACCCTCAAAACGACCTGCCAGCTATACTAAACTGGCGACTTGTACCAAATCTTATTTCACCTTTTCACTCCCAAGATCTCATTAGTAATTCTGTTCACAATCTGCCATACAGTTTTTATGATGTTAGTTCAGAGAATTTGGTATTGGATCAACTATTAATCCCTAACTTGACTGATAGTTTTCTTTATTCTCATCACTTGCATACTTGATATTGTACTGATATTCTAAGGAGAAATTCTGTCTTGGTCACTCATGGGAGTGAAAGGGTTAAACCTTGTATATCATGACATACTTACTTGGAGATCTTGAGAGAAGTATTCTCACCCCACTCTACTGTCACAGGACATTTTTCCTTTAGATGCTCAACAGTAAGAAGTGTTACTGACAAAAGAGAAATACAAAAAGTTATCAAAAATCAGCTAGGCTCATATAGTAAGAGTGTGAGGAGAACAACGAACCAACCTTATCATTTTTTTTCCAAGATCTGATATCAAGTTATTCTCTGGCATTATATCAGAGTTATGCTCTCTCACCAATAAGTATCTACATTCTCACCACCTATTGGCTTGATAGAGTCATCCTTTTGGCAAGGAGAAAATACATGCTAATCACTTGTGAGTGTGAAAGGGCTTACTACTGTAAACAAGTGCTTAATTCTATACAAAATATGACTGCTAAAGAAAAGGAAACATGCACATATTCATATTATTTCACTCTGTCTAAGATGTAAATTGATAAAGGACACTCTGATCACTTTTTTCTAATTTTGGGGGGAAGGGGGGTGGAGGGGGTGCTGAAGTATTAGGCTAATGAGGTGATGCAATATAAATGGTGATATTAACTATAAATAATGGAATTTCACTATTGGTGATATTGAAATGAGTTTCCTTTTCCTTGAGACAAAAATATCGGTTTTTTTTTTAAAGTGCGGAGTCTCGAGTTTTAAATGTACGAGTTTGAGCTCCGAATAATGCGTTAACTTAAAATTAGTGATCATTTCAAACTGTGTTCAATTTTATGAAGCTAATAATGACTAGCACTGTGATAATTTTAAGGTAATGATACAATTTTTTGGTCGGTTCCGTAACGATACCGAGGGGTTTAGGGAAATTCAAATAACTTTAAAAATAATGGTTAATCACCTTTCGTAGAAAAAAAAAGCGATCTTGAATTCAGCTGATTTTTAGGTTATTTCCTTATCTCGTAGGAATGATCACGATTCGATCTCGAGATGCAAAGTTCTCAACAAAATCAAAGTAAGCTTGTAACAATACGTGAACTTCCCTTCAAAGCAGCGCAACAAGGCAAAGTGTTTAGGATGTTTTTACGATAGCTCTTCAAAAGATCGGAGAAATCGAAAAGTTCAAAATTAATCTTCTGGGGATTTTTTTCTTTGGCAATGAATAACATTCAATCGAAGGCTCTGTGCACAAAACCACTTACCAGGGGGAGGCCGAGAGGACGAGACAGTTACTGTAAGCGTCTTCATGACAGCGGTACAAAATTGTGAAGATGGAACAAAAGACCTGAACAAGAATCTACCAGACCAGAAGGTACAAAAATAACCTGCTTTCGGTTTTACCCAACCTATCTGCATGGGCACGTGAACGACTAAGCCAGGTTTTGATTCCAAGAAGCGCCGTATATAATAGTGAACAGCGGTATCTCCGTGGTGTCATGTTGCACTCCCTGTTGCATCCCTCTTGCATCACTATTTACGACACTCGCATGGGCATGCAATCGGCAATCATGTAACGTAAGAGATTTACTCATTATGCAGTAAATACCAAGAAGTTTAGTCACTCCCATTCAACCATTCATTCACCCAATTCAATTCATTATTTTCTTTCCCGCATTCATTCGTGTACTCAATCATTAATTTTTTTCATTTATTTAAATATTCATTAATTTGAACTGAAAACAAAAATTATAAATACACTCCATGTTCAGTAATAGATGACAGATTACATCGGAATGTGTAAGAAAGAAAAACTTGGCGCATGATTGAGGCACAACCGAGTGTGTCACAAATGTTCCAAACACATTGAAGCGTGTCCTGTGAGACCCACGGCAACATGGAATCCATGTTACAAGATATAAGAGTGGTGTGTGGTTAATGCTGACATCGCCTATCATTCTGTCCTCTAATAGATCATGTAAGTAAGAACTAATTAACTAATATAATTCAAGCTATCATATAAAAGTAAATACATCATTTCTTCAATAAAAGACCCTTTAACTTATTTTGTTTTTGCAAATAATTCATAGAATGGGAAAACTTTCCACAAACAGTTTTTAAGATAAGTGTCATGTCTCTGATGTGAACAATCTTTAACATATCATCAAGAATAAACATTCTGTATACAAGAATAAAGAAGCTTTTAATATAATTTATTTCTTTTTTGGCATAAAGTACATGTTCTGCTTTCATTTTAAATAATTGTCTCAATAATTTTTATTAGCACAATTAGGACACATATAATAATTAAGATGTTGATGACCACCAAATCTTCCGCACATTGAGAAAAGTTTTTATTCTCAATTCATAAATACTACAAAAAATTCATATTTTCACATTCCCTAAAAGATAATTTTCATAAAATTTTTTAAAAAATTGCAGCAATCTAGTCAATCAGAATGGGATTTTTTGGCTTTGTGAAGTTTCTTGACAATTAAACCAGGTAATAATGCCATAACAGCTATGCCGCAGAGCTTGATGACAACATTAAAAGTAAACAGTTTATCTAGAGATGTCAACTGTGACAAAATACAACCAGTTTGACAGCATATGAAATTGTATGGCATCAGACCTAAAAAGGCAAAAAATAAAAAACAAACAAACAAAAGAAAAAAACAAATTCAGAAATAAAATTTTTGATTTTACTTTCTTTAAGTATTATGTTTGTGGGCTTCACAGAAAGCACAAGGTATTCTATATAAAGCATAATCACTTTTCTCAAAATGTAGTCACTTTCGATGTGAATTGCAACACTTAAACTGCATAGTACAAAATCTTCTTCAGTCAATAAGTTCAACTGTGAATGTGTCACCTTGTGAACTGATGATAGAGGGAGATTTGCAGTATGTGGACAAAACACTGAGATCTACAGTCAAAGTCACTAAAAAGCCAGGGAAAATATTTTAATTGATATATAAAGTGTATTGACCACATTGGCGAACCACAACTTTTTCTATGATACAATACGACTGCACAGCAATAATATAGTGAAAGATTCCATAAGTTACCGTATTTCTTTACCTATAAGCTGAGCAATTTTTTCAGTATTTGACACAAAAGTTTGGGAGACTTTTTCACAAGAAATGGGGTTCAACTTATAGCCAAGGGTTTGGGATTCAAAAACAAGTACTCATCTAGTTTGGGACACTTGGGAGTGAAACGGTCCATTTCTGCATGTTTTGCAGACATCTTAAGCTTGCCAGAAAGAATTGTCACCTGGTCCCTTCTCCAGCATCGCACCATGGACTCTTTAAGTCCATAATCTTGAGTGATTTCCGAGCTGCTTTCTACAGCTTCAGCTTCCACAATAACTTTTATATTGAAAGCCATAGTATATGAAGAGCAGAACATTTTGGCATGATGAGAAAAATAAGTGACGAAAGAGATACTAGATTGAAATGTTTGTCAGGTTACAGTAACTGAGAGTATTGTTGTGTTTCTGCAGTCAAGTAGTAGTATTTACATCTTCACTGATTTGCTTAATTTTTTCTTTTGTGTTTATTTGCATTCATAAGCTTTTGTGTTCATTGTGCCATTTCCCAATATTTTACATGAGGTTCGCTCACTCAAATGGCCAGTTGCAATCAAGAATTTCACTCTTGGCTTATAGCCTATGGTTTTGCTTTTTCTTTTGGACAACAAAAGTCTGTTGGAAGGTCTCTAACTTTTAAGGTCTCGGCTTATAGCCGAGGTTGGCTTATAGTTGAAGAAATACGGTACTTTTAGTTTACTTTTTTTTCTCAGTCTACTTTTTCTTGCACTGGTCATTTTGAGTACACTTATCTCCCCTTCCCTTCCTTCCACTGGTGTTAAGGGCAATATATTATCTTGTAAAACTAAACAATTTATTCTTGACTTTGACTTTTCATCAATTTAACCCTTTAACTCCTAAGATCTCATTAGTAATTCTCCTTAATGTCTGCCAAATGATTCTCATGGTGTTAGTTTGGAGAATTTGGTATCAGATCAATTAGTAATCCCATAATTGATATTTTTCTTTATTCTCATGACTTGTTTGCATATTGTATACTATTAGATATAGTGACAAAAAATTCTGTCTTGGTCACTCACAGCAGTAAAAGGATTAACCCCAAAAATTCTCATAATTAAACAAACCAAATGAAACAAAATCAGCAAGTCAGGTATCCTTACCAATTACAACTGAGAAAAAGAAATGTGTAATGGGTACTTCCAAAATTGGCGATGACATGTTTAGGAACCAGTTGGGAGACATAGGAAACAATCTCAAGAATAATAAAAAGAAAAACAGACCATCAAGGTTCTCTTGGACCTGAAAAAAAAAAGAAATGCTCTAGATTACAAATTTATTATATATTTGTTAATAGTGAGTGCCTTTCAACAACAATCCTTTTTGATAAAATTAACGAATAGGTTGATTCAATTTTACCACGTATCGCTCAGTAGTAAATCACAGATGACATGATAAACATAAAGCACAGCCTAGTATGTCATTGATGAACTTATCACATTTTGACTTCATCTGTGGTTTACAACATGTGTTTTTTTCGGTTTATATGATAAAAAGGAAAACATTGTCATTGGTGAAATAATGTATGCATCTGTCCTCTCTCACCTTGCCCTGCAAGGCCTGGATTTTGTCTGGAAAATATTGAAGTAAAAGCACTTTTCCAAACGCTTTAGATAACAGAAAACAAAATGTGGCTCCACATCCAGTCAAGGTGCAAACCAATGGAAATCCAACCCACATACCAAATATTGCACCAGCTAACAAATTCTGAAAATAAAATTGCACAGAAAATAGGATATTATTAATCTGAGTTTTAATTAACTCTGTTAATTTTTAACCATCTCTCACCCTCTTGGGACAAATTTCTTTCTCTCCCCAGCCTTTCCCTGCCATTAAAATCAAAGATGATGGCCATAATTTTCGCTAAGAAAATACTGAGTATTTGCTGGGGAAAATTACTCCTACTCCGCAGACTTATAATCATTTTTTAATCTTTTTTTTCTTTTTAATACCAAGTAATTTTTTTCATTCTTTATTCATTTACTTATCAACTAATACCTACTTACCTGATCACTTATTTGATCATCTCTTTATTTCTCTTTTAATTTTTTATTTATTCTAGAATCTTAGCTTGTTATAAATACCTACCATAAAAACAGACCCTGGAATGGCAAATGTCTGTTTGTATAAATATGCACTACAGAACAGCAGAATCACATAACCAAAATTATCTTGTCTGTATTGCTTCAATAGACTGGCTAAAGACTTCAGATCCTCAAGGTCACTTGGAAAATGTAGCTCATAACTGAAAAACCAAAATATCATAACAGAACATAATATAACTCCAACATATATGGTCATACTTTCTAGTCAACCTTTAAGCTCTCAAGATCTGATTGTTAATCCTCCCCACTAGCAGCTACAAATTTTCTTGTGAATTATTTACAAGAATTTGGGGTTAGATCAAGATAACAACTCCTAGTTGATAAAGTGGGTAAGTTTCTAAAGAAACTATGGTGTTGCATTGGTGGGAGAGTATAACAGGGTAATTTAGTATTATCAACTCTGAGTTGATAATGTAAATTGGCCACCATAAAGCATTTAAAAGCTAACATTTTGCATGTTAGCCCACCAGTAGAGCAATTTAATATCATGGTTGTAATTGCAATAACAGTATCCATAACTGCAACTGCAACCATGTAAGTGTTGCAGTTTTAAAAGCAACTTCTTTATACACCTTTGATCCTCAAAACAATACTCTGTTGTGCCTCTAAGTTTCTTGCTTGGTAAGTATATTGTGTAGCACTCTAAAGTCTTTTGTTCTAGTATTGACATGATCTGATGTCAGTTCATACAGCCTATATAGCCACAGAGTATACAGGTCCATTGACAGTCAGATTACAGCCCTATACCATTCCTAACACTAACATCAGTATGCAAATTTTCCTTAATGTTCTCTAAACATTTCCTAAAGTAACACAAGGAGAATTTGGTTAACAATCAAGAGCTTCTTTAGTTTGTGATCATTTCCTTTATTCTCAATTGACCTTCATGTTTAATTAAAGGTGATACTGTTGGAAGAAATTAGATGTTAATCATTCTTAGAGGTTAAAGAGGTTAAACAAAGCCCTGGTCTCGGAGGCTATCTATTATTTTAGCTATTGTATTATTTATGCAAGAACTGCATGCACAATGAATTATGGGGTTGTGTAGAAATCTTGGCACAATGAGCTAAGGATTAGGTCAGGAACTTTTTTAAATATAAATCAGTCAGTGGAAATGGAGGTGGATTGGCCACAACAGGGTACAGACAAGAGAATAACCTTACACAAAAAAGTAAAGTGCAAGACCAGCAAAATTTGACTAAAAATTTTCGTAACACTCTCAAAACTTCTCGAACAGTCAAATATACCCCACATCTCCTATCCTGTAGTCTGCTAGAGCAAAACAGCTATTCATAACAAAGGTTTGCGTCATCATTAGCCAGTGAGGACTCGAAACAAAAACAGGAAAATCATTAAAAGCGCGGGAAAACGAGGGAGACCTAGTAACGTCTGGTTATTATTTGGCGACTGATTGGTTTAGAGGATGGCGCGAATTTTCTGGATCAATCGCAGACCGAAGTAAAGCGAAATCAGTCCCGGATCACTTTTGATACTCAATTGAAAATTACTCTGAATGTCTGGTTTATCTCGACTCCTCATAACTAAGACCTAAGTCAGAAGAGAATATTGTAGTCTCGCACTCCTATTAATACTCGCCGAGTGAACTGCCTGCGATTTTACCTGCTCACCTTTTACTTTCGTTTGTCTCTGTACTGGGATTAGCTGTGAATGGTGGTCGAAACATCGACAGTAAGGTAAGAAAAAGTGTAGCTGAAAAAAAAGTAGAACCAATGCCTAGAATACAAAAGAAGGTTCTCTGTGTTTTGGAAGGTGTCCTCATCATTTTACGACGGTGTTCTAGAGTCTGAATCCCCACAATGGTCGCAAATATTTCTACAAGTCAGGAAAATGCCGACATGTTGGTTTGTTTGTAACCTCGCCAGGCTAGAATCAGGGGACTGGTGTCGAAATTTTTATAATCGCGTGATTTCAACAGTGTCACGCGAGGCTGTCACGCGGAGCTTCGTTTATGTTTTATCGGCAGCACTCTGATATGGAAATTACGTCTTCGCTTTTCATTTGACAAGCTCAAATAACAGCAAGATTTCTTCACAAACAACAGAAATCGAAAAAACACCGATGAAATCGTCTCGAGTCGATAGTCCTTACACCGCAAAAGATCCATCACACGGATTTTTCCTTTGGAGTGGTCTAACTTGGATGCAGAAGGAAGAGAGATTTTGCGACGTCACTCTTAAAATTGGTAAAGATCGAAAGTTACGAGCCCATCGTGCTGTCTTAGCGCTATCAAGCAAGTACTTCGAAGCGCTTTTCGGAGCGAATTGGGTCGAAGGAAAATCAAACGAAGTCGAGCTTCTTGATTTCGACGAAGACGCCATAACGAGTTTGGTTCGATTTGTGTACTCAGGAACTGTCGACATTACCACCGACAATGTTCAATACATTCTGGAAGTCGCGAATTATCTTGGAATCGAGTTCGTGCAAAAAGAATGCATACGCTTCTTGGAAGAAAATCTCAATAAGAACAACTGTCTGAACGCTCTTCAAATCGCAGACACGTTTGCCTTCGAGTATTTGAGGGAAGAGGCGAAATTGGTCGCCGTACGCTATTTCACAGAAATTTGCATGACGCAAGATTTTATTCATCTTCCACATCATTTATTGACGGAGTTACTGAGAGAAGAGAGCATCTGTGTAGTTGTTGATAATTTGATTCCTCGCGCCGATAAGAGAGAGAGCGTTGTTTTACAAGCTGTGTTTCGATACGTGCAGTATGATCTTGGTAAACGAGCAGATTTATTACCGAAACTTTTGGCCCTCGTGAGGCTTCCAACTCTATCAAAGGAGCATCTCCAAGAGGTCTCAAAGCACAGCTTAATTATTGGCTGCCGTTGCGAAGCGATTGTTGAAAAAGCAATGACGGTGAAATCGAATGAAACTGGAGACGGTTCGACCGATTCAAACTGGGCCAAAAGAAGGGATTTCGCCAAGTGCGTAGTCACATGGGGTCGAACCTTTGTAGGAACCCAACAAATTCCATCGAAAAAAAAATTCATAACCGGTCGATATTTTCTTGAGGACTCGATTGATGGTGTCAATGATGAAGGCGTCTACATTACAGGAATAACCGTTTGGAGGAACTTTCCAACAGAAGAGCCGCGATCTATTTGTGGATTAGAGGTCTTTTACAGCAATAACTCGAGGTGGTTGTACGGCGTCAAGTCAGGACAAAAACAAAACGAAATCTTTCTCAAAGAAAATGAAAAGATTGTAAAGGTGGAAGTTCAGAGCGGAACGCTGATTAACAGCCTGGCGTTTTATACAAATAAGGATTCTTATGGTGGTTTGAAGTCTTATCGTGGATTTTGCCCCGATTATCAAGGTGGCTGTCAGGGTAGTCACGCGACCGTTCGAAGCCAGAGTCCGCCTGGAATCTGTGGATTCTTAGCTGGCGTTGCCGGCGAAACATGCGAGTTCCAAGGACAGCCGTGTATTACGAGGCTTCAATTTGCATGGAAGACATTTGTTTGCAATGACGTAGCGATCACACCGCGGTTTGAGTATTTTGAGCCGGGTAAGTGCGAAATTGTGAACAGACCACTGCGACCGAGCCAAAAGCAATGATGGTGATGTTGAAGTGAAAGTCGTCGCAAAGATGATGACAATGACCAAGATGGCGAGTGAATGATGTTGATAATGATGACGATGACATTGATAATGTTGACGAATACCGATGACTGTATCTTATTACTGCGCACCTACCACTCCCATAACCTAACAATAGTCAACTGGTAGCGACTTAGGGTTAATCTTGGCTCAGGGGAGGGGTAGGTGCGTAGTTGCTTGGATACTACCGGTAACTTTGATACTGGAGACGAGAGAGATGAATGGATGATGATAATGATGGTGAAGATGACTGAGTGGTTGTTATGGTAACGACATTAAAAACGAATCATTATGACGTTGATAACCAAGAGGATAATTATAAGCGGGTTGACTATGGCGACGATCTTCAGAAAAGAAAAAGGCGGTATTTATGACAACGACAAAGGCTATCATTATCGTAGGCTGTGTACAACCGCCTTCTATCTTCGAAAAAAAAAAAAACTAGAGAGGGCTCCTTGGCCTGGCAATTTTTTTTTTTTTTTTTTTAAAGGTTACGTAGGTTTGGTTGTACGCAGGCTATCACGATCAATGTGGATCGGATCTTGATGCGGATGTATGACGTTTTAAAGCTTAACTGAATTTATTGGCTACTTGAAAAAGGTAGAATCTTCATTCAGGGGCCACAGTACCTCTTTAAAACTTCCCCATAATTCCCCTGCTCCCTTTTTCTCCCCCGGCAGGTCAGGAGAATACAAACCCTGCAAACTAATCTCGTACCCAGATCTTGCCGTGTAACTGTAACTAAATACAACCGCTTGGCCGTGGAAGGTCTAGGTATGAGATACCTGCACCGCAGGGTAATTTTCACGAGGGGAAAAGCATGACTTGGAGAAGCATTTCAAGTTTTTTATGGCAAGTTGCCAACGACCAGTTTTTGTCCCTATGACTAGACATTAGGTAATTTGTTTACATCACCCGAAGGGAAAAGATGCACGAAACTAGTTTCAGAGACAGATCGTAGAGATGGGTTCCCTCGATTCAATACTTCCGCCTTAAGAAAATGTACATATACATTTATCGCCTGTTTTAAAATATAATTATTTGCCAAGTTAGTCTGAAAGGTTCAGTAATAGTTATCGCCCCCACTGATACTTGCATTGCTCTGGAAAGTGCGATTCTGAATGATGAAGTTTGCGATACTAAAATGCTAATTTTCTGCTGATCCTAACCTTACGGGGGAGCAAACCTTTACAGGCAGTTTTTAGGTGTAGAAATCAAGCCATTGTTATCTGATAAACATTACTTTAGCAAAGCACTCTCCAATAAATGAAATTAAAGAACTAAAACACTCGAACACTTTGTGATCATGTTTATATTCATACGACACAATGAATATCAGAGAGGGGAAGGAGTACACGAACTTGAAACACTCTAACGGGCAAAATTCCCTGCATTTTTCAAGCTTGCGTGAAATTAAGACCAGTTGAACACGGAGAATGCAGATCGTGCATAAATTATCAACATTGTATCTTCGTAGCTAGAGCTAAACGAAATTTTTATTCACTTCATAACTGGATCCTTGAGGATCTTGTTATGATCAAAAAGCTACCAACTCACTGTGAAACGATTTTGATCGTACCGAAACACAACTGATCTCAGGATTGTCAACAGACTTTGGTACCATTTGTTAAAATTTGTTTAGCAGCGGAATGTGAAGATTAACTGAGCGGAATAATTTTTACTGGTACCCTGAAAAATATAATGAAGCAATTAAGAAGACAAGGATTTTCCTGTTAAAAAAATGTAGTGTGTTTCTTTTCCTACCAGCAATGTTTTCATTTGTTAGAGCACATCACCTGTGAAGCTCTGTGTGATTGGTTGTCGTTTGTTGACAAACTGAACTAATCACATGACATACCGCCATATTCGTCCGAAAATTATAAACATCAACTTCATGCTCCAGGATCTGCTACCTTTTTGACGTAAATATGAGATAATTTTCTCGTCCTAGGCTCAGATCTCGAAAGCGAAATATCGGAAGCGTTAAAGTGTCAACACCGAAGATTAAATATGCTTTTTGTCAGGTAGAAAATGAAATTTTATCACCGTAATGGTTTTATCATGGCCGAACGATCACAAACTCGCTGAAGATGAAGGGTGTTTAACCCAAACGACAATGGAAAGAAAGTCTGAAGTCTGGATCGCTAGTGACTGTTGTTAAAGGACAGAAATATGAACGTAAAAACCGAAGACTTTACGATCACAAGGATCGATTCACTGGATCAAAACGGCGGGCTTTCCCCTGGAGGAAAATCTGTTGGGGATTTCTTGCCAAAACCAGAGAGCGATCAAAGTCAAGCTTCGCCGAACAAAGATCATCCTTCAAATTCGCCTTCTCTGGCCGGTCTTTTACAGCGTTTATTAGGATGTCTGAAACCTGTGTGGATGATTCTCGGTAAGGCTTCAAAAGAGCGGAAATCAGATTCGTGGGTTATTCCATTTGACGAAATTGGCGAGCTGGAATGGTTGGGTTCTGGCGCGCAAGGGGCAGTATTCTTGGGACTTTATGCTGGACAACAAGTCGCAGTGAAGAAAGTTCGTCGCGAGGCCGATACCGACATTAAACACTTGAGGAACATAAATCATCCGAACATTGTCAAATTCAGGTGAGAAAATTTGTTTGTAAATTTGCTTTTCTTAGATGTCAAGGATTATTGTTCGAGTGAAGGTCGAACATTACTGGTACA